AAAGAAAAGTTGGGATGATGATGAAGATGTGGCTGCAGCAGCAGTAGTAGCTGCAGCAGCAGCTGCAGTATTAGTAGCTGCTGCGGTAGCTGCAGTAGTAGTAGCAGCAGCAGCAATGGTAGCACTAGTAGCTGTAGTACGTGACATTATTTCTCTAATAAACGGATTAAATTTTTATTAGAAGAAGCAATGTCATGTTTAATAAAAGTGTTTTTGTTATCATCATCATCGTCATAATCGTCATCGTCGTCGTCATCGTAAAAACATAAGTTAACATTTATTACAACAAAGCAAATGTTTAATTGCTTTACGTAATGCTGGTTTATCGGGTTTATCGATGGTTTTTAATTTCGTTAACAAATTTTATCTTTCTACTGCTACTGCTACTGCTGCTACTACTGCTACTACTACTACCATTATTAATAATATTATTATTATTAATATTATTGTTATAACTTTTTTTCACAATAAGATAATATTTATAATTTGAATTTATTATAGTATGACAGGTTGAACTCCTTGAAAAGAGGCAAGTAGCAACTCGTGCCAACCAAGCTTACTGACGATCAAGGCTGAGATGATGTAATTTTTGTCATAAAGACACTGAAGTTATTTGAAATGTTTTATGGGTCTTTATAGTGAAAATAGTTATAGTATGTATTACATCAGCTACTTTATGCGACCCGCATAATGTCTTGCTCACCAGACATTATAACCAAAAAAAGAAGACACAAATCTTAAAAAAATTCTCCCCCGGGTCGAAAAAATTTGCTATTCAAGTACATATGCGGCCCTTCAAAGGTCAAATAGTTCTTAATGCAGCCTTCACAACAAAAAGTTTGCCCATCCCTGTATTACAACATTGTTATCTTAGAATTTGTCAACAATTTCTCTTCTATTCATTTACTTTTTTCCAGATATTTTAATCTCATTATATTTTACGTGTTAAATTTTCAAAAAAATCAAAAAAAATTCTCATTGCTATTTTGGTAAGTGTGTTGCCGTTGTTGTGGCTGTTGTTTTTATTTGTTGTTGTCATTGTTGTTGTTGTTAGTGTCTTTTAGTGTAGTATCTTTCTACAACTATAGCGAATTACTTAAGGATGTGCTTGCTACTGGTACATTACTCTTTCATTGTTAGATGCTAAAAGAGTATCGTAAATTAATCATGTAACATATTGTATGTGTGTGTGTATGTATGTATGTGTTTATGTATGTATGTGTGTGTGTGTGCGTGTGTGTGTGTGTGTGTGTGAGCGTGTGTGTGTAATGGATTAGTGGACCCACTGTTAATTGCTACAATACAAGCCAGTGGATATCTGAACACTTGTTTGTTAGTTTGTAACTTAGCTTGTAAATTTGTTCATGCATGTATGTGTGTGTGTGTATGTTTGTATTTGTGTGTGTGTATACGTGTATGTGTGTATGTCTATAGAGTTATATAAAATTATATAAAGTTAAATAGAGTTATATAGAGTTAAATATCAATCAGACAAGATGTAGTGAGGGGATGAACCAGCGTTCCCAATGTTGATCTATCTTGGAAGACTTCGGCATGTTTGAAACTTGAAGGAAACAAACAAATCTCAATTGTATGTTTGTTTGTATGTTCGTTTGTTTGTAAGTATGTATGTATGTATGTATGTATGTATGTATGTAATTATTCATATTAATAGTTTGCCAATAAAGAAATGTTATATCCAATGTTATTGAACCGTGGTGTGATAGTGACTATTACACATCGTTCATAAAGTTGTCATGATGATGATGATGATGATGATGATGATGATGATGATGATGATGATGATGATGTTGTTGTTGTATGATGCTGATGATGATGATGTTGTTGTATGATGATGATGATGTTGTTGTATGATGCTGATGATGATGATGTTGTTGTTGTATGCTGATGATAATGATGATGATGATGCTGTATGATGCTGATGATAATGATGATGATGTTGTATGA